GTGAGCAAATACTTTTGGCAATATAGTGTATATATATATATATATATATTTTTTTTTTTTTTTTTTTTTAAACGTCTCTCACAGCATTGAGTAGGTAAAAAACACAATAGGAGAGAATGCTTAACAATACAGCATTCGCTACACAGCATCGTTTTGCTGCTCTTCGCCATCTTGAAAGGTCAAAGTTGACCTCATCTCGGCAACTCAGGTATCATAACATTTTTTCACTATATAGCCGTGACTGCCTTCCACAGCAATCATAGACCCACAATTATAACCCCTGCTCTGAAAAAAACAGGCTTCGTCAAACACTAGTTAGAGAAATAAATGTGATTTTTAACACTAGTGATTTATATTGCATTTAATCATATCCTTTGATTTTACCACTGCCCAAATGGAAAAAAGAAAGAAAATTACATTTCACCACTTATTTAGTTTTTCATTTATAATTCCAGTTCATTGGCAAAAAAATAAAAATTGTTCCATGATATTTATCCTGATGTAAGGTTTATTCTTTACTAATCATGTGTATTGTTAATCTGTTAGCCAGATTAGATTGAGTAGAAGGCCTTCCTTCACATGGTGGATTACATTGTGTGAACAGAGGTCATCTAATGAGGACAGTCTTCTTTTCTGTAGAAGATACACAGGATAATGATACATCCTGGAGCTGGACTGATAGAGGAGAGCTATCTGTAATTCTGAGGCATAGAGGCAAGAGGCACAAAGGTCAGGGTATGGATGGCGTGTCATTTTCTGACACGAACAGCTAAGCATCCACCTGATGCAACACATAGACTCTTTAGGTGTAAGAAGCAGGAGATGACCTTGTTCGGGGCTCATTTTTCCCGGATGCCAACGCTTGCTGACGTTTGAGCCCTCAGTTGTGCCGACTCCAAGCAATTTCTCTGTCCTGTAACAAACTGGAATAAACTCTTACTACTTTTACTTTTTTTTACTCCTGTTTTTATAGTCCTTTTTATACGATTTTACCCAGTTTGAGTTAAGAATAATTATACTAGATAACTTGCTCCCAGGAAAAGAACCGGAAGGGAAGTTCCGAGGTGTAACCACCTTCAGGAGGACAAAACTTCATTATTTAACACCGGTAACGATAAACGATACGATAAATGCAAACCCCTACTGAGGATCAAGGTACCTTTGAACGGAGAGATTCATGCGACTCCAACATATGCAGCAGCTCTGAGTTGTCAATTTCCAGCAGCATGCCGGTGATTTTTCCCGCCAGGTTGGCGTGCATGGCCTGAATCAGCGGGAACAGACGCTCTCCTGTTCAAAATGACCACAAATTAGTCTAAAAAGACAGTTAAAGCTTTGTTTAAAGACTTTGTTTAAAGGGGAAGGGGATCCCACCTAACATCTGTTTCTGCTCCTGAGGGGGGGCAGCAGCTAGCATGGAGGCTGTAAGCGGCTCCTGGCCCTGAACATGTACAGCTGGTTGAGCCTAAATAGGACACATGAGTTTTTTTTAGGGAAGAGTATTTATAGATCTGCAATGTTATTGACAAAAATAATACCTGTTGTAAGGCAATAGGTTGCACCACTTGGGGATTGGGGTTACGGACACTGGTGGCATATTTATAGGGCGGCATGGCCCTAGGACCAGGGACTCCCATTGACTGACGTGGACCCATGGTCTGACCGGCACCTAACAGGAAAGATATCAAAATGAAACAAACAGAACCTTGTTAAAGACAGGCCAAAATTCTTCAAATAGCAGACACGTTGATAATGATCTCCTTTTATAGGCCAACAGACCTCGTGGGCCCTGTGCACCGCTGCTAGGAGTCATGTGTCTCAGGTTGGCCCGGGGTCCAGGCTGACGCAGCGAGTTGCCCATTCCTTGGAAACCGCCTGGGATCAACACAAGCAGAGATGGAAAAACCAAAGTACTGCTACACTGTCATGCATGTTTCATTTCATTTTAAAGCTGCATCAAAAGCTAACCTTGGCCTCTTCCACCTTGCTGCTGCCACCTGGGGTTGGGTCGCATCTGAGCCAGCTGGTTCGGTGCATAGTATGTGGTTCTATTCTGAGCCTAATAGGGACAAAGAAGCAGTTGAGGCAGCAAGTCTTGCGGTTTGTCTTTACCAGCTTTGTGAAAGACACTGAGATCTATACCAATAGTCCATACATGCTGAGCCATTCACTGAAAAAAATCTACAGTAAATCTAGATAAGTCATTTTTTCTTAAAATAAGTAAATTTGTTGTGGATTGAGGAGGTAAAAAGAGACATTTTGCCAATCAAACAAGACAATTTACGCTTAATACAAGTAAACATAATTACATTGTCTTATTTCAAGTGCATATTATCTAATGATCCTATTTTAAGAATAAATTGTCTTGTTCCATTGGCAAACTATCTCATTTGCCTGCTCAAATTAAGGGTAAATACACTTAATTTAAGACATTTTTACTTATTTCTTGATAGTTTTTCCAGTGTTCACAAAAACATGCCATCATAGCTGTCATTGCCAGATTAAAATAATCTGCCCCAATCTCACATCTTTTGCAACTTCAAACACATTTTCTTCCCACATTGCCTTGTATTTAGCTCTATGTATCTCCCTCTTAACTCAAACTATCATCAGTATCCCTGTAGAACGATACACATCCCCACAGCATGATGCTGCCACCCTCATGTTTCTGTTATGGTTATGTGCAGTGTTTGTTTTTTCCAGAGATTTTTTTTTTCCATTTTTATGAAGACTAAAGAGTTAAATCTAGCTTTTTCTTTCTTTTAACAGTGGCATTCTTTTTGCAAAATCCATAAAAGTCCAATCTATGGGTTCTCAATTAAAAATTTCATTTCTGCACCTTTTCCACCACGCTATGCTCTCTCACTCTTTAATCTGGTCAAACAGAACAAGATTGAAAAAATTGGATCAAAGATGCTCAGCTTGTATAAGCATCCTAATGCAATGATTAGCAAAAAAATATATATATATATATACATATATATATACCGGTATATATATATATATTTATATATGCCTGCAGACACATTTACTAACAGATTTTATTACTATCTATGCAACAAACTGCAAAAAATAGCTTAGAACTCTGAGGTAGCAGCATCTGTGTAGGCAAATTATATATCTAACCAAAATACTCGTACAAAAGAAAAATATATTGTAAATAATACCTGCTTATTGAAGAATTGTAATGATATGATGGTTTTTAAACACAAACTAAGATTGAGTTCTCACATTTATCTATATTAACAACAATTTTTCAGATTGTTCTCATTAATCTGCTGATTAGTCAGACTAGTTCCACTCACCTGTGGGACAGCAGGCATGAAGTAGCCACTGGTGGGCTGGAACTGATTGATGATGGCGTTAGCCGGCATGGCCCTCATGCCAGCTATACGCTGCATGTACTGGTTGGTGAGGTGAGCTTTACGCTCCTCTTTGCGCTGGGCGAGAGCAACGTACAAAGGTTTGGAGCCAACAATGCGTCCGTTCATCTCTGTCACGGCCTTGGTGGCCTCTTCAGGGGAAGAGAAGCAAACGAAGCCAAAGCCCTTTGAGCGGCCTTCTTCTAACATCACCTAATGAATAAACAAAGGCTTTAAATTCACACGCAAAAAGGTTGCCCTCTTAAATAAAATGCATGGTGTGTTTTTATATCCTTTATCTCACCTTAGCACTTGTAATGGAACCAAATGGAGAAAACTCTTTACGCAACTTTTCATCATCGATTGTATCGTCAAGGTTCTTGATGTAAAGGTTAACACCCTGAAAAAAAAAGAAGAAAAAAAGCTAAGATTTAGTTTGAAATATATATAACAAATACATAAAAAACATACAGAAATTTTAAAACATGTTATGGTCTGCTTCTTAAAATGCACAACAAACATCCTACTTCTACTAGTCTGACCATAAACCTGCTATCTCAGGCCTGTAGGGTCTGCAATTAATCTGTGGTTTCTTTAAGCATTTTTGGGTTTAATCTGGAGGATAGTTTGCCAGGACTCTTCCCAGAATGATGTGCAACACTTATTTCTTGTCCCTTATACAGTTTATTTCTTCTTTTAGGCTCAATTCTAGTAAATCAGCCTTATCCCTCTCTGTAAAGGGGCGGTCCAACCTGCTGGTGAGTGATTATTGAGCTGAGGTTAATTGAAAAAATAAAGCTGGCATTTTCTTCTTAAATCTGAGCAGCAGCTTTTCCGTCTTGCTTCCTGTTTGCAGCACATTCGGTTTTGTGTTTTTTTTTAAACTTACATCATTTCAGAAGCCAGTAAATCTTTTTTTTTACCATGAATATAAAACGTGATAAAAGAGCATAAAGACTGGACTGCTTCCACTGGAAGCTCACCTGATACCGACTGATTCGTTCTTGTTTGAGCTGCTCAAACTTCCTCTTCAGCTCCGCCTGCCGCTCCATCTTCTTCTGAGCTCGGCCCACGAAAACGGTCTTACCGTTGAGCTCGGTGCCGTTCATTTCCTCCACTGCCTTTGGATCGACAAGCGTTCATTTGCAAACATTTTCCAAAATCAAACCTATTCTTCGAGCAGCCGTGAGAGTTCTCAGTACCTTGTTGGCATCCTCATGTTTCTCGAAGCTCACAAACCCAAACCCTCTGGATTTGCCCGAGGAGTCTGCCATCACCTTCACACTCAGTGTTTTTCCTGTAAAACACAGAGGAGGCAGTGAAACAGAACTTTGCAGTATTTCTATTTTGGGGTAACATTGCCTGCAATGCCATATTTTTCTATATATTTTTTTTCATGTCATCTCTTCTTCCCTCCACTTCACTGCAGCGCTGCATGTCCTAAGCCCATAACATCATCAGTGACTCCTCACATCCACACCATTGACTGTTTACCCTGCTGCCCTCTGGGAAAAGGCTTCACAGCATTCGCTGCAGGACCAGCAGATTCTGCAACAGCGTTTTCCCGCTGCCATCAGACCGTTGAACCGTTAAAACTCTAAACTGGACTCTGTATCACACTTGCAATATTATTTTGCACCACCAACGTGGCTGAAACTTTTATAATCCATTTAAATAAGACAAAACTCAATGTTACACTGCATTTTTAACCATAATCATTTTGCAGTGCACTGAACCTTTACATATAAATGCCCTTTTGCATCATTATTTTTTAAAACTGGTTTCCTTTTCTCCTACACTGTTTACTTCTGATCACTGCTGCACTTTATAAATGGAAATGTTCATTTTACTGTTGTAAGCTGTAAGCAACATAATTTCGTTTTGTACTGGGTGTATAAAAAATAAGAATAAACTTTGTCTAAGTCATATACAAGATAAGGTGGCTTATGACTGTGAACAGAAAGACTTTAGGTCTATGTGAAATGTTTTGTTCTCTGAAACTTTGCATGCAGACCAAAAAAAAAGTTTTAGATTACTGGAAATGTTACTTAAATGACTCTAAAAGCTGTTTAATAGTGAAAAGCATGCCTGATTATTGTCCTGTCAACAGATTCTCCCACTGGAGCTGTGAATCTCTGCAGCTCCTCCAGAGTTACTGTGGTTGCACAGCCTGTTCATCACTACATCAATGTTGAAATCGTCTTATACTTTGTGCTTGGGATAATATGCTCCAACAGTTTTCATGCTGATATCAATTCATACACAGATTTGCATGTTAACCATGTAACTTTCAGGTTCAGTAACCATGAATTAACTAGCAGCACTGGACCATAACAATAGTGTCCCTCTGTGTTTGGGAATCTTAGATCAGACCCTTTGTGAACAACAGTTAAAGAATTCATTGAGTTATTTGTAAAGAAAGGAACACATTTACTGCTCTATATTACATCCTATATCAGAGAACCAAATATTTCTGATCAGATAGGTTTCATATTTGTTCTGTTGCCTAATAACTACTTTTAGCGTAGGTAGCTCTGGTGTTAAAGGAGAGCTCAGGCCAGGTGTGCAGGAGGTCACACAGACAAACATTTGTATAATAAATACATTTAAACAAATATGTAAACATTTATTTTAACAACAATGTGTGTCATAGCCATAGAGATCAGTGGTCAAAGCCTGCAACACATGTCTCAGAGCGGCACGTTGCCAGGCAAAGAAAGTGGCGGGTGTGTTTCGGGCCATGGATCCCAAAAGGAAAAAAAGGAAGATACCTGATGAGAACATGGGATTCAAGGAAGAATGGAGCGAATAATTTGCTTTCATTACTAATGCGGATGGATTGCCTGTGTTTTTGCTTTGGCACAAGAATTTGTTAAATAATAAAAAGAGTCATTTGGAAAGGCATTTCCAGGGAAGGCTAAATATTCAGCTGATCACATAGTTGTGAGGGAGAGAAAGAATGCGATTACAGAACTTCTGGATAAATTAGAGGAGCGCAAAGATAGATTAAAGAAATGGATTGGATCTTCAAACCCAACTACTGCTGCTTGTTTTGTTTCAAGCATATAAAAACCGTCCACAGATCAAACAGGTAGCGCTCTGATGCAGGTATGTGATTTTTTTCCCCCCAAATCTTCAAAATAAAAATAAAACCAAGGAACACTGGTGACTGGTGGGATTTCAGGGTTAGAGAGTTCTGTTCTGATGGATGTCAGTTCCTGCTTGGTTACTCATGACTTCATCATCTTCTCCCACCAGAAACATGTCCCCCAAAGCAAAAGATTCCTTAAATCCTGTTTCTATAATTTCATCAATGCAACAAAACCTTAACCATGCGGTGAAGTGGCGCACAGTGAATTCCACGCCGTGAGGGCGTTCACTGCTCATCCCTCACCTCATGCTACTATGTGACATTTGCTCCAGGATAAACATTTAATCATGAATGCTTTTTATATGTTTAACCCAACGTATTCCTTTTTTAATAGTGGGCTAATACACTTAGAGGCTGTGTTGCCATAAGAGGCTTATATAAGACTTTTACATTTTTGCAGCTCCAGGCAGATTAGTTTTTTGTTCCATTGGTCCAATTTGGCTCTTTGAGCAGTTTGGGTTGCCGACCCCTGGCCTAGGCTGTCATAAGACCCCCAGGGTCACATGACTCTTTCAGTGATGGATTCAACCCTATGAAGTTACAGATGTGAGATTTAGAGCGGGGCATGCCATATAGAGCATCAATACCTGCCAACTGTGTATGAAAATGTATTTAATAAGTCAATAGTAAGGCTAAAAGAAAGAAAAAAAATAATTTTCCTTTAAAAATATGTCATACATCAGCTTCCTTCCGATTCACAAGTATATAGCACACCCTAAACAGTCAAAGGGGAATTATAACACGTGCAAAGCTCTGTACTCTTGAATTTACCGTATTTTTCGAAGAGTTCCTTTAGCCGTTCATCGTCCATGTCGTCGCCAAAGTTCTTGATGTAAACATTGGTGAACTCCTTAGCTTTAGCACCGAGTTCTGCCTCCCGTTCTTTTCGAGATTTGAAACGACCAACAAACCTGAACAAGCAAGAAGACAGGCAAAGCAAAACACTCCTTTGTAAATGAGTCTCAGCAAAGCTGAGATATAAACCAGGTTCTCATTTTTCCACAAACCAGGACAACATCGGTAAGACAAAATGATACACAAGGTTTCATGGTTTGATGGACCATTCTTAGTGACTATGACAAAAAGGAAAACCACACACAGATGTTGGTGTCAGACATCACCCATGTGAGTTCTTGGTCCAGAAGGTGATGAGAAGGTGGATGGAGAGAGAGAAGAAAACTCACAAAGTGTAAAGAGAAATGAAAGGATCAAACTATTTGATATACCTGTTTATGAAGATCTCTCTCCCTTCCACCATCATATATTGCATTTTACATCCAATCCATCACTAAAACACACAAGCATTGTGACACAGACTCACACTCTAAGATAAATCAAATCAAGTGGACAATTAAAAAAAAATTTCTGGTGCGAAAAAGCTCTAAATTGGCGGAAAGTAACTATTTACTCCCAGAAAAATACTTTTAGGTGTATTTTTACTTTAACTTACTGTTTACTTTCATCTATGCAAGATTCCCGTGAGAGTATTTCAGCTCTTAAAATAAGTGAGATATTTGGAGATCAGGATAAAACAAAGTAAAAACCATAAACCTTAAAGCTGGAAGTTCTTTATTCTTTTCTTACATTTTCTTAGTTTATGTTGAAGAAATTGATTCGGAAAAATGTTTCTTCGGTCTGAATTTGTTTTGTTTTATTATTGTTTATTGGTACTTTCTTATGTTTATTAATTGAAATACCTAAATCTAGATAAGTCATTTTTTCTTAAAATAAGTGCATTTGTTCTTGAACTGAGAAGGTAAAAGGGAGGTTTTGCCAATGGAAGCAGACAATTTACATTTAAAATAAGAAAATCCAATTGCATTGTCTTATTTCAAGTGCATTTTATCTAAATATCTTATTTTAAGAGTAAAAATACTCATTCCATTGGCAAATCATCTAATTTAAATACTCAAAATAAATGGTATGTACTTATATAGCGCCTTTATTCAAGTTAGGAGACTTGACCAAACACTACACCACATTCATTCACCCATTCACACACACACTGATGGTGGCAAGCTACATTGTAGCCACAGCTGCCCTGGGGCTCACTGACAGAAGCGGGGCTGCTGTACACTGGCGCCACCGGATAAAAACCGGATAAATACTGACCACCATCAGTAGACAATGCAGGTGAAGTGTCTTGCCCAAGGACACAACGTCACTGAAAGCGGAGTCGGGGCTTGAACCGTCAACCCTTCGATTTCAGGGCAAACTCCTACATCCAACACCATTGTCGCCCCAGCAGTAAGGGTAAATGCACTTAATTTAAGAAATTTCTAGTTATTTCTTGATAATTTTTCCAGTGCACAACTGTCTCATTTCATCACTTCAAACATTAAATCAGATGGTATGAGCCAGCAATTACTCAGTATTTGAGAGGCCATTAGGAGTAACCAGTACTTTTTCACTACTTCCTCAGTAATTCATTGAATTATGACTTCACAGTTTTATTTCAGTAATGAAATATAAAACTGCTAAATGTTTGAGTACTCTACCAGCTTCTGGTTATTTCAAAGTTTGGTGAGCATATTAGTCATTTTAATCTTACAAAAACTCACTAACCGAAACAAAAGTTCAATAAGTCAGTTCAGAAACCCAGCAGGTATACACTGTAAAAACGATCTAGAAAGAGGTAAAAAATTAGTATTTAGCCTTAATTTGAGTAGGTCAATAAGATGATCTGCCAAACGAATGAGTATTTTTACTCTTCAAATAAGAAAATTTGATAATATTTACTTCAAATAAGACAATGCAATTACTTTTTCTTATTTTAAATGTAAATTGTCTTGCTCCATTGGCAAAGTGTCTCAATTACCTCCTCAATTCTAGAAAAAATCTACTTATTTTAAGAAACAAAATGATTAAGAGATTTCATTTTTTTTTCAATATGCACTGAAATCCAATTAACTTTATAAATTTTGTTACATTACAGCCACTGTTACAAATGTATTTTAATAGGATTCAAACAAACACAAAGTAGTTGAAAATTATACAATGAAAAGAAAATTAACTTGTCTTGATAAAACTTTTCTCTATTTCTTTTACCAAATACTGCAATGATGTAAAAATAACTAAATATGGCATGCATATATATCCATTATGGGAGAAGAGTTTACCTGGATAAGGATGGAAAGAGCTGGGTGTAATAGCTGAGGTAGTGTATGCTCTTTAGCTTTCTACTGAAATACTTTCTATAAGCCTGGGTAAGAGAGAAGGTAATCTGTTCTGCCTGACTCTACCAGCTGTTGAGATATCTTCCACAGAGAATTATCATTGTGGATCAGGGCAAAACAAATGGGGCGATGGAGGAGAAACTTTCCACGACAAAAAAAAAAAAAAATTTAATTACTCTCAGATGTCAAAATGTATATGTTTCTTATTAAAAAAAATGTTTCTAAGATATTCTCTGACAGTGCAGAGTCCTCTCAGATTCTCTTCTCACTTCTCAGATTAGGTTGAGTGAAAATTCATGAGATGCCGTCTGGATGTATTTTTTTTTTCATTGTAAGGGGAACGTCTGGGATTTTTTTCCTGTATCAGAACACACCTTAAACATGAAAAGATCTGCGGCTGAGTTATTTTGCAATGAAGAATCAAACCTGGTAGAGGTTTAGGCTGCAGCTAAAAGGAGATAAATACAAATACAATATACCTCTTTTAGACTGTGACTGGTGAAAAGCATTAAGAAAGCCATTTACTGTTTTCTTTCCACATCACAAGTATGCACTACTTTATGTTGGTCCGCAAAACATCCTAGTCGTATAACCCTGAGGTTGGAGGTACAGCTGCAACATGACAAAATATGACGAGGTCCAAATAATGTAAACATCTGCAAAATATAGTAAATCCCAGTCTATAAGATCTCAGTGCAAATGGAGGGCTTTATATTTGGACGTCTAATTATGGTGGATAGTGTGTGCAATTCAGATTAATTCTTAAAAAAATTAGTTAGCTAAACAAATAATAGTAAACGGGTAAAGAAAATAATGAGACACTCACACCTTGCGGTCATTCAGAAGCATGCCGTTCATCTTCTCAATGGCTCGATCCGCTGCATCCTGCGTCTCAAAGTGGACAAATGCGTAGCCCTTGGAACCATTTTCATCACACACCACCTGGTAAAGAGACACAGGGGAATTATCAGGAATGCGGACAGATCTGATCAACCTGGATGTATCTGATAAGATGCTTTATAATCAATCTAAGAAACCACAGT